TCACCTTTCGTAGTGACGAAGGAAAAATAACCATTCAAAAGAAACACATTTACAGAGATAATCAACATCGGAGAAGCCAGGCTGAGAAAATTCTGAAAAGCTACCTCCGACGTAAGAAGGCAACAATAAATAGGCATAGGTTTGCACGAGAATGATTAGAAATCTGCTAGGTAAACACCATAATTTACAAAAACACACTGGTACCACCCAGAGAAACATAGAAATAGAAATAACAGAGGCATATAGGAGCTTTCTCGGTCGCTGTCTTTAATATTCAAAAACTTTGATCATCTCTTCAGCAAAAAACTGAGGGGGATAAAATCGTTTCTTATCTTTCGTAAATCATTTATATTCATTATTGTGAGAACGAGCTCTACTCAAACGTGAACATTACGCACAAAAGGTATGAAAGGGGCGTAACTTCAACTCCTTATAAAACTCTTAAGTAAAAAACCAAGGAAAAGGGAAGGAAGCTCAGTTCAACTCTTCAGGTAGAAGAACACAAATATCAAGCAACATGTCACTACTGTTGCCAGTATTACTGCATCTTTCCGCTTCTTGTACTGAATTTTCTGCATTACATTGCTGATCATCGGATATTTCTCTGAACATGGACTTATCACAATACAAAGCGAATAGAACAACCGTGAAAATTTGGAAGTTTTAAATTTTAAAGTCAAGGAAAAAAGTAACATACTGGCCAGAGTGTCCATTTTCTTTCCGATCCCTCTTAAGCTCATACTTTGACGTTGTAAATTTTCTTTTGTCGCCATTGCTATGCTGAAATATCGATACGTTAGCATATTACAAGCTCACTATTGGCATGACATATTCCACTAGCCACGTCCAAGAAACGTGAACGTTAACTCTGACAAAGATAATAAGGTAAAAATTACACTGATGAAAACAAAAGCGCAGCGGTCCTGCAGGGAGTGTGGGAACATTTTTGCGTTTTTGATTTAGCGCGGCCAATGAAAAACGAAATTCTCTCGAGCTCATGTAATAAAAAAATCGAGACTCAGTTGAAATATTCAGTTTTTCTCTAGAAATAGTAAGTACACTTGGAATTTTCTGTTCCTTCATCATCACGATTCCTAGTCCTCGATGTTAGAAGGTGGTTCAATCATCAATTCTTATGCAGTTTCTATATGGATTCGTGTCAGAGCACTACTAGCTCTACAGGAAGGGTTTATCAAAACCATGCAGTCCAGAGAAAACGCTTTTTTCAGCACTTCAATCCCGAGGAAAGCGCTATCATAGAGATTTTTAGCGTTATTGGTCCTGCTTAATGGCTAGGCTGGACTAAAGGTGATCGAAAAAGTCATGCTCAGCTAAGAATAGACCTTCTGCCTTGTTGGAAATAGTGTTATGAACACTCATTTAAGGCTTTAGCTTAATCAAACAGAAAGGGTAGAATTACGTCATGGACGAGCACGTGTCAAATCATTCAGATTTCAGATTATCCAGGCGATAATGTGGCGCTGCGGAGCTACAAGGATATGTATGGAGGTACAGTGCTTCTTTCTTAGTCAAATCTTGAAGGGTGTTTGCGTGTGTGTGGGCAAACGGTGTTTCAATCACACAATGGCATTAAACCCGATAACCACAAATAATAATAATCAACAAAAAAAAATCGACAACAAAACAAATATTTAACACACAATCAAAAAAAATCAAAAACGAAAAAGTGCAGGCTTTGACATAATGCGTATCGACGTTCCGAGCTTTGATGAAATTCTGACATGAAAGGAGCCAAAAGTTAAAGCCAAAATCACGTATAAGGAATTTGTCGACTAGGTGAGAAACCAAAACGTCTGCTGCCAACATTCCAACAAAAGAATCCATCGAACATTTGATCTTATGCGCACAACGTGAACTAGGGTAAAGATGATGTTTATGGATGATGTTCTGATCGATTCAGTCATCACAAAATTTTGCCATTATCAAATTATGCACCACTCTAATAAATGACTAAATCCTCATGCTCTTCGGTAATGCAAAGTTTCCTGGATTTCTACGCGACATTTTGAAAAAAAGTTCACCAAGTTTCTTGATTTTCGAAAAAAAAAACTTGGCTAAGATATCCTCTGCGACTTCGAGGCAATTTCGCATTTATTGGCTGCGATGGACCGAAAATGGAAAAGTTTCCAAACTTTTTTTTACCGCGACAGCGAACACACTGTTCTGCGAAAGTTAAGGGAGGAAACGATGAAATAGCTTAACTCAGAAACAACTCTAATCTCCAATAGTTACTGATACTTGCTTTCTGTATGTACTGTAGCAGTTTTTCTACGCACGATTAGACTCTGTTGAGCAGTGTTGCTCGGCGTTAACACATCACGGAACAGTTACATTCGTCCTTGAGTTTTGCACACTTGTGTATGTTTATCATAACAAAACAAAACTGCCGACGTCACAACTCTCCCTCGCATAAAATCATCAACAAATTATGAAAAAAGTCCGTGTAAAGCAAATATTACCTCATCTGCTCATCGATAAGTCGATCGCAGCTGCTGATGTGTTCATTTTCTTTGAGATATAAGTCAGAGCCTTTGACACGATTGTTGAGACAAGACCCATCCGGGTTAGATCCGCTCACACCACCGGAGAGCAATGATTCTCTGAAAGAGTTGCTTAGTGGGTTGGACTAGTAGGATGTACCAAGAAGTCGCACTGATTGCATCACATTATTCCGCCTTAATCTTCGGATGGAAAGAACTATACTCATACCTCTGCAGTTGCTGTTGCACATTATCGCGGGCTCTGCGAAATTCCGTACCGTAGTCTCTCAAAATTTCACGATGCCTTCGGAGGGTATGCTGGACCGCTGGATTCATCGCCCAACCAGCCGAACTTTGCGCTCCAACAACATCATTCATCTAGATAAGGTAGACAATGAAATCAAAACTTAAAAGCTGATGAGCATTTCGAAGAAAAGACGTTCCCGAAAGATCCCGACACTTACACTAACCCAAACTGGACGTTCATCAGTACTTTAAACAAT